GAGACTCAGAAGTGTCCCTGTTTGCAGATGATGTAAAGTTGATGAGAAGAATTCAATTGGACGAGGACAATTTAGAACAATTTGACAGGCTGCAGGCCTGGTCCAGAAACTGGTTCCTGGAGTTCAACCCCACGAAGTGCAGAGTCATGAAGATTGGGGAAGCGCAAAGAAGACAGCAAACGGAGTACAGACTATGGGGCCAGAGATTACAAACCTTACTCAAGGAAAATGATCTTGGGGCGAGTATAACACCGGGCACATCTTTTGAGGCACACATCAACCAAATAACTGCTGCAGCATATGGGCGCCTAGCAAACCTAAGAATAGCATTACGACATCTCAATAAGGAATCCTTCAGAACCCTTTACACTGTGTATGTCAGGCCTGTATTGGAGTATGCAGCACCAGTTTGGAACCCTTACCTAGCCAAGCATGTAAGAAAATTAGAGAAAGTGCAAAGGTTTGCAATAAGATTAGTCCCGGAGCTAAGGGGCATGTCCTGCGAGGAGAGGTTAAGGGAAATCGACCTGACGACACTAGAGGACAGGAGAGATGGGGGGATATGATAACGACATATAAAATACTGATAGGAAGCAACAAGGTGGACAGAGACAGGATATTCCAGAGATGGGACACAGCAACAAGGCGTCACAGTTGGAAGTTGAAGACTTAGATGAATCACAGGGATGTTAGGAAGTATTTCTTCAGTCACAGAGTTGTCAGGAAGTGGAATAGTCTGGGAAGTGATGTAGTGGAGGCAGGATCCATACATAGCTTTAAGAAGAGGTATGATCACGCTCTTGGAGCAGGAAGAGTGACCTAGTAGCGATCAGTGAAGAGGCGGGGCCAGCAGCTGTGAATTGACCCCTGCAACCACAAATAGGTGAGTACACACTCACACACAAAGAGTAATGGTAAACAAAATTAAATCGGAGGCTGCAACAGTGAAAAGCTCTGTTCCACAAAGCACAGTACTCGCCCCATTCTGTTCTTCATCCTCATATCAAACATAGACAGAGATGTAAACCACAGCACCGTGTCATCCTTTGCAGACGATACAAGAATCTACATGAGACTGTCATCCATTGAGGACACGGTAAATCTCCAAGTTGATATAAACCAAGTTTTCCGATGGACAACGGAAAACAATATATTGTTCAATGAGGACAATTTTCAACTCTTCCGTTATGGAAAACCGGAAGAAATAATAACTAGAGCGGAGTGTGCTACAAACTTTAACCATACAATAGAGCGAGAAAGTAGTGTGAAGGACATGGGAGTGTTAATGTCAGAGTATCTCACCTTCAAGGATCACAACAGTGTCACCATCACATCTGCGAGGAAAATGATAGGATGGATAATGAGAACCTTCAAAACAAGGGATGCCAAGCCAATGATGATCCTTTTTAAATCAATTGTTCTCTCTAGGCTGGAATACTGCTGTATATTAACATCTCCACTGGAGTCTCAAAACTCCACCGTCGCGTTAGCCACTGGTCCAGTGGCTAACGCGACGGTCTGGAGTTTTGAGACTCTGATCGCGGGTTCTATCCCCGCCCGTGGTATGGTTTGATTTCAATCGTGTCATTACGATTTCGTGAGTCATATATATGTATATAATAAAAATCATACCATCAGATTGTGAAAAATTCATTGTTGAATGCTTAATATTAAGAATAGTTCCAAAACATTCATTATTAATAGCACATCACTAGCAAATAGGTAAATTTATTTTCGATATTCAAGAAGACGCACCTAGACCTATTACCTGTGACGTCATCACATCAAATGTTGTAGTTACTATAATTCGTTATGGAAATATCACAGGAAAATATTTACATCATAATGTTGCCAGATTTTTTAAAACTATTTTTAGATAAGCTTAGCTCATTTTCTGATTTTTTTCCGACGATAAATAAAAAAAATCGTGGTTTACACCCACTTTTTAATGGAGATACACCAGGTTCCTCAATGACGGTGGTGGTTATTGTTGTTAGTGGTGGTTGTTGTTGTTAGTGGTGGTTGTTGTTGGTTGTGGGTGTTGTTATTGTTGTTGTGGCAGTGATAATTCTTGTTATTGGTTGTTGTTGTTGATAAACAGAGAAATACCAAATAATGTGGAACTTTAAGTGGCAGTGGTTGTGTTAGTTGTGGTGGTGGTAATAATAGTAGTGTTGGTGGTAGTTTCGGGGGTATTGGTGGTGATGGTAGTGGGGTGGTGGTGGTGGTGGTGGTCAGAGAGCTATAGGAACGTCCAGAGTACATCCCACAGACCGCCAGGCAGGTATGTGCTAGAAAATTAAGGTAGGATGACTTGCAAGGAAGAGGAGGGAAGTCTTGGAAGGTATGGTAATGGATGTACACGCCCTGTACCCAGCTCTTACGAACCCTTGTATCCTATTCTTACCTAAGTTTGTACCCAGCTTTTATCCCAGCCTGTACTCAGGTCTTATCCCAGCCTGTACCCAGGTCTTATCCCAGCCTGTACCCAGGACTTATCCCAGCCTGTACCTAGGTCTTATCCCAGCCTGTACCCAGGTCTTATCCCAGCCTGTACCCAGGTCTTATCCCAGCCTGTACCCAGGTCTTATCCCAGCCTGTACCCAGGTTTTATTTCAGCCTGTACCCAGGTCTCATCCTAGCCTGTACTCAGGTTTTATCCCAGCCTGCGCCCAGCTCTTTACCTAAGTTTGTTACCACCTCCCTACATCGCGCTAGGGACGTTGGGTGCAGACCACCCAACTTCCCTAACTGCCCCTGCAGCTACCAATAGCTAAAACACGCAAACTAGCCAGGAGGAAACTTTACTGGAGGTCAGGAGAGCCAGGGGCGGATCTACTATGAAACTAATGAAGCTTAAGCTTCAGGGGCCCCTAATACCGGACTGGCCCAAGAAGCGACTTTAATCCACATTGCTAGAAATTTTGGGTCTACTGTATGAGAAGGGAGTCTTCAGAAAAACAATAATAACACTGTGTAATTCAGTACAAATTTTTATTTTAACTATAGTTAAAACAAAAATTTAAAGGTTATAACAGTACGATGTAGGCTGTCTGTTGCTGGTCGTGAAGCTTCAGGGCCCCGTAACAGTTCAAGCTTCAGGGCCTCAAAAATGTATGTCCGCCACTGCAGGAGAGGATATATAGTAGGTTACGGGAGTGCATAATGTATGGAAATACATGGATGTTAATAAGAGTACATAGTAGTACATGTAAACAAACACGAGTGGCAGATAACAGAAAGATCTTCCAGACCGCAACGAGGCTACCTGCTAACAGAAAGCAGGATAGTATAGCAGAAGACTCTCTCCCTATCCTTCAGTCCCTCCTACACTATCTGCTTGAAATAGGGCTTCAAATATTTTATACTGAACAGTATGTACAGATATTCAAAACTAGGAAAAGTGGAAGAAGAGTTTAGAAATCAGCTACTAGAACTGTAGCTAGTACTGCAGCCACTTAGAGGATAAATGGAAAATGGCAAAGGTGAGACCCATTTAATAACGGTAGAGAGGTGCTTGGCTGCAGTTTATAGATCAGTCGACTAACCTCAGTTACAGGAATGATGGTGGAATCATGAACCTCGGAGGAACTGTAAAGCCATCTTCAGCTATATAATTTAATCAATGAAGAATGAGACGCTTGTGCAACATTTGGGAATCTTCATTGAGGAAAAGTTTCGCCACACAGTGGCTTCATCAGTCCAATACCAGGAAGAACGGCAGAAAAAGAGTAGTAGTTTGAGGTAATCAATCCTTCACCCTGAGAGATGTTTAGTCCAGCAGTTTTTCAGACTGTGGGAGTGATTACCTCAAACTCCTCTATTTCTACCGTTCTTCTTTGTATTGGACTGATGAAGCCACTGTGTGGTGAAACATTTCCTCAGTAAAGATCCGCAAATGTTGTACAAGTGTCTCATTCTTCAAATTGTCGGTTTTCTAATTCATTTGTCACAAATATGATTAATGAATCTCAGTAGGGTTTTTACGAGGCGTTCTTGTCTTACAAGTTTACTAATCTTTATTTTTTACCAGGGCATAAAGATAAGAGACAAATAAACCATGTAATGTGTATATAGATTTTAGTAATGATTTTGATGAAGTTTAACACAGGTGATTGATGACGTTAGTTAGTTAGTTTAATATGTTTATTATGCACCCCATACCCATCCTGTGGGCGGTAGTCAAAAGATTACAGAGGTACATAATTGGTCCAGGGACTGAACTCCAAAGTTTTGATAGCTGAGCAAGTTACAGAGGTAATGAACTCACAATTTACAAAGGTAATGAACTCACAATTTACAAAGGTAATGAACTCACAATTTACAAAGGTAATGAACTGATGACGAAAGTAGCGGTACACGGGTATAGAAATCATTAGAAAAATGTTTGTCTTGAAACCTTGATCACTTCTGACCAGCGTCCAAAACCCGAAACGTTTTCTAATAAAGGAGAAATTGTCTCCTGGGATCAAGGTTGATCGATAGGCTGTTAACACTAGGTTTGCTTAAATGGGGACAAACCAGAGAGGGAAGCTGTTACGAGTGGTCTGCCCCAAGGGTCAGTACTGGGACCCTTATTGTTCACAGTCTATATGGGAATATTAATGAGGGAATAAATAGCGGGGTGAGCAGGTTGGCCGATTAAACTAAAATAGGACGTCAAATAACGCCTTGTGAGGACACTAGAGCACCAATGAATGATTTGCATGAGTTGTGGCTGTTGTCGTGGAAATGAAACCTTAGTTCAGTGTGAACGGTTGTAAAATTATAATTTTGATGTGGACACTTATTCCACGAAACGTTTTATAGTGTAAGCTTTAAGAGCCCTTAATTTAACCTCTTACATAACACTTGTAAATAATATTTGACATTTTAGACAGATTTAAGTAGTTACACAGAGTAGATAATAAACTTAGGAGATAATAACATCAAATACAGTAGTACAGATAGCCAGTGATTCAAAATTCGAACTTAAGTCAGTTAGAAGGCTAGCTATGGCAGTTGCTACTCAATCACGACGCAGAGTGCACGCGACGAGTGTACAGCCAGAAACACCGGCGTTAATACACTTGTTTGGGGTACAAGATAACCTTGAGCGGTTTCCCAAAGTATAGGATACTCGTCTCTATCAGGCACACTTGCAGTGAGGCGAAATCTACAATTCCTAGCAACATAGTCGGCCGACAATGGGGAAAAGTAGGTAGCTAATCTGTGGGGGAGTCCAATCAGACACTTGGAGTGAAATCCGTCTCCGTATGTGGTGTCCAGAGGCTGAAGGAACATCGAGCTCCTTACCACCAA